TGTGTGTGTGTGTGTGTGTGTGTGTGTGTGTGTGTGTGTGTGTGTGTGTGTGTGTGTGTGTACCTGAGTCCTGTATAATCTTTGACTCCTGAAATCAAGATAACATTTATCTTGCATTTGTTTAAAATTAAAATTAAAAAAATTAAATGATTCTATATTAATTTTTTATTCTCCCACATTAGGCCACGCGACGAGGGATGAGCCAAGGACAACACCGTCCTCGGTCGTCTTCACCGTCAGCGACAACACAAGGGACACGCGGACAGGAAGGCGGCGCCACGTGATCGGATGCTGACGAGGAGGCGACAAGGTTTCTCAGCCGACGGCCGACTAAACATGAAGCAACATCATGGATGGTGCTCTGGTGAATCACAGAGTGAGATGGAGAGAGAAGGAATGGCAGCTGTGTGTGTGTGTGTGTGTGTGTGTGTGTGTGTGTGTGTGTGTGTGTGTGTGTGTGTGTGTGCTGGTCAGTCTGGCCGCTCTCCATCCTCCTGCTTAGGTGTTGATGAAAATCTCAGTGTGGGCTCAGGACAAACTTGGCTCCTTGCACCTTGCATGCTGTCACAGCAGCGATGCAGTATTTTGTATTTGTTGATGAATTATGTTCACCTGGTTTTAGAAGTGTGATAACTTATAAGCTGCTGTCCGACCTGCACTGAATAATGAACGAGCGTGTGAGAACACAAGTCAGTTTCTCCTGCCAGATCCCCTGTTTTCACGGACGGATGCAACACGGGCCAAGAAAGAATTTGTTCAAATGGTTCCAGACAAAGAAATCCAAGTAAAAATCTTGTAAATGTACCTGTGGTTTCATGGGGAGACTCTCGGGCCTGGCTTTAGATATTTGCTTTAGATATTTGCTTTAGATATTTGCTTTAGATATTTGCTTTAGATATTTGCTTTAGATATTTGCTTTAGATATTTGCACCACAACCTGTTCTCGGCTTCCTGTGATGTACATGTGCTCTTTGCTCCTTGAGCACTGAAGCTGCACAGTCCTGACACAGTTACCACGACAGAATGAAGATACTACTTCATAATTCATTCATTCCCTGGTTTGGAAATTACACCACCGCCGCCTCATAACTGGAACAGGATCCAAACTCTGGTGTTGTCGAAGGAGGAGGAAGTAAAACAAGATCGAGATCCTGGAGGAAAGAGACTTGTTGCTTTGTTCCACACATTTTACACTTAAAGACTCAAACCATTGTCTCTGCGATTATTTGTCTCTGGTTCATTCGAGTGGAGACGAGTCTTACTCAGCAAACTGCAGTTTTAAACAGGAGTTAATGGAGGAGAACGTCTTTATTAAGGTGAAGGACACAAGACTGTGGAGTCCTCGGTGTCCTGAACAGTTCGTCTGTATCCCACTGGCAGAAAGGAAAGAGAGGAGGAGAAATATGGAAGCAGAGAAAGTAAAGAGAGGAGGGAGGTCGGGTGAGAACAGAAAAGAAAAGGAGGGAGAACACAGAGAGCTGTTTATAGAGACACAGCTCTTCTGACACCATCACGCTGTCTCCAGTGACCTCTCCCTTCACCGTCCATCTTTCTCTTCACTCGTTCATGCGTGACGCTCTGTCGGCCTTCAATAGAGCCACTTCTCCACACAATGCCCCCCCCCCCCGTCTCCCTCTGCTTCTCAAACCCTCCACAGTTCTGTATTAAACTCTGTTTCAGTATCAGCCTCGTTCCTACTCCATCCTGTCCTCATCCTTTCAGCAGACTCCCACCGTGAAAGATTAGACAGAAGGTTACGTAAGTTTCCCATCGTATCATTCGACAGCTTCCTCTCTCAGCGCCCGACACACTCACCATCTTTGTTTCTCACAGTCAGACTCTCCTCTCCTCCAGAACTCACCTTCCAACTCTCAGAAAGTGTTTTTGTACCGTTGTAAAACTGCGTTATCATTAGATGCCAACAAGAATGTAGAAGTCTCCCGCTCATCGAGGAGGTTCCTCCCTCATGACAGATGTATGTCCCCTGAACGAGGACACGCTGAGCTTCAGTCACTCTGATGCTCGTACTCTACAGCCTGTGCAGGATCTGTTTCCCATCCTGCTTCTGCACTTCCTCCTGAAGCAATAAAGATTTTGATGCTGCTGCTCTCGCTGAGCAGCACAAAGACCGGAGTAATCTGGGTTACGTGGGCAGCAGCGTTACATAACACGTCTTTATCACAAAGATCTGAGCTGCTAAAAGGCTATTAACATGCACATGACATGTAAAAATCATGTCAAACACGTGTTCATTCTCACACGCATGGAGACGGAATAAATGCAATTAGCACAAAGCGTAACTTCCCTACACAAACATGACTCATCCAACACGACGCGTCTGTGCTGCAGCTCTGTTCTTCTCACTTCTTCTTCAGATCACTGGATATGAAATGATGCATCTTTCTCTTCATGTTCATTTCTTCTTAAACTCATAATTGACTCTGTTGTTTCCACCCCCCGTCTGTTGGTTTGATGAATTACCATCAAACTCCGTGGAAAGACGGTCAGAGAAGAACTCAAAGTTTTGGGTTGGATCCAGGAACGACAGGACATTTTATAATACTGTCATTTATTTCTCAAAGAATAATTCATGGATTTTGATTTCCCTAACACTGAGCCCAGGGACGAACTCTGAAGATTTGAAAACGTAAATTTCATTCATCAACAAACCTGCTCCGATAAAGACAGGATTCTTCTAAACAATATGTTTGAGCCAAACTCACGTCAGAGATTTACATCCGACAAAGAGGAACATGACTAAACAAACAAAAGCGTGAGATAACGTCTCTCACACATGGTGCAGCTCCGTCATGAGGTTCACAGTCATACACTTCAGATTACAGCTCATGGGCTTCCATAGGGCTCTATACGTGTGTGTGTGTGTGTGTGTGTGTGTGTGTGTGTGTGTGTGTGTGTGTGTGTGTGTGTGTG